GCAGTTGATGAGTATTTTGATATATCATTTGAATTTCTAGACCAAATAAATTTCGAGATATTCGAGTTTACTTTTGCGGAGTCGATTAATCTCCACCCTGTATGACATATACGTTAGGGGCGGTCGAGTTGGACGAGTGGCCGACCGGGCGTTCGCCGTATCGCCAAAAACGTAGGTCAAACGGTTTATTAAAGGTTTGGATAGCGATTCGCTGACAGACGAGTCGTTCGCCGAAAGGGCTTTCGACGGCACGAACAGACCCACAGCGTTGTCGCTAATGGGGAACCCTTTGCGACGTTTGGATCGCTTTGTTTTTGATAGGTTTGTTAAAAACATGAATAATACTTTAACTGCGCAGATTGATTGCGATGATTATCACAATCAATGAATCATGTACAATTATCATAAATTGTGGACAGGCTTGAATTGCCATTAATTTTTTTGTATAATATTATTATATAATAAAAATTTTAATTAATTTTCAATATAATTATTATTGTATTTAGGTTAATAAGTTTGGGTGAATGTTTGGACATAACTTTAACGGTGTCTTGTGGTATACAAACAATGAGAATGTAAATGTTTTCAATATATAAAATTCTACCAGGTGTAACTACGTCATAGTTTCTTTGAATTAGATTAATTATAATTTAGAAATATAATAATAAAATTTATTATAAATATTATATTATAAAATCGATTTGTTTTGTTATTTATAGTATGTTTCTAAACTATGTAAAATATGCAAGCAAAACAACTAAATTAATAAATGTAAATTTTAATATTCATAATATTTATAATGATCTGATTTAATAATGAAAATAAAATGTTTTGCATAATTTTAATTAGAAAGTATATTATGGATAATATTGTATATTAAATATATTAATTTAATTGTGGTTGCATTTATTTTATTAAATTTTAATTGTTTCACAAATCTTTATTGTAATAATGGTTTGAATTTATAATTATTCTGTTTACAAAAATAAACTGATGTTTTAAATATTGATTTTCCATTAGATATATTATAGTAAAATTAATGGGTTATAATTCAATTCTACCCTTGTATAGAAATATTACATTAGAAATAATAGAATAGAAAACAATACAATAGATATTGATATTTGAAATAGCCTATTTCAAATTATGACATATCGTTATGTTATAGAATAAACATACGTGTTAAGAATTTAAATAATTTTTAACAATAATATAGAATTAATTTCAGATTGGTATAAATTATTTTAAAGTTTGTAAATTAACTTATTATAAAATTGTGCGCTATTTCGAAATAAAATCTATATTAATTAAATAATTTTAACGACAATATGAATAAACACTGCTTTCAAACTCCGGACAATCATTTTATAAAACAATCCTTCAATACCACGTGTAATATTCGACTGGCAATACCTGATGCATTAGTATGTAATTCATCATGATTAATTATTTCAAACTTTAATTAATTTGGTTCAAATTGGCAATATATAATAATTATACATTTAACACTTTAGAAACACCAATTAAATAATGAACTATATGAAATATGTGGGATGGTTAAACCTATAATAATAATAATTTATTATTATTTAAAGTGCAAGTAAGATAAAATTACTATGCACAAAATAATACTTATTGTGAATTGTAATTCATTTAATACAAGTAACATCAAATAACTAATTCAGTACAATATTTTTAGTATAACTATTGTCAATTATCAATCAAATATCGAAAGTGGTGTATTAATAAACGGAACCTGGACTGGCATAATGAGTTATCTGAAGAACAATGTAACATTTATAATTATTTGCCATTTTATTAAAAAATGATTTCTGTTGTTATTTAGCTAATAGACGTGACAGGATGGTTTACTTTATCACATGACAGGCTAAGTATAAGCCATCTGATTAATCCTGTTTGCATCCAGATTTCAATATTATCTACTGAGATGTATGAACATGGACAATTTACATTATTTGATTCGTTTAATAAAATTACTTTGGTTGCCATTTTATTTGTGTTTATCGCATGTATTATAATCATATTAATTTACGATTGGTTTAAATATAAAAGAGCAAACCAATCATTCAATTTATTTGAGGCAACCATATGCCTGATTCTTGATCTAACCTTGGTTTTAACTGGAAAATGTAAGTTAATTTTTTTAATTAAATGTAATAGAGCAACCAAAATATGAGTCATTGCAGACTAATGTAATATGCAGACTAACCAAAAACCATGAATTAGTCAAAGAATGATAACATATAATATTTAACTACTGCTTTAAAATGAATAAATAGTTGTAATAGTCATTATTGTGTTCAAAACTATAAAAATCGATTTCAAATCGATTTCAAACGGTTGGCCTAAAATGTAATAACTTACTTCACTTAACTTATAAATTTATTTTTCATTAAGCTGCGTTAAGCAAATACATACGTGCTGGATCATTTGGCAGTTTAATATTCACTCTATGGTTGGCAAACTGTGTATTTTGGATTCAATTGTTTGGCAATGAATTTCTATCCAATTTAGCGAACCCTCCGTTGCGTTCTATAAACAGTGTTAAAGATATTGGACCCGGAATTACAGTATTTGTCGACAAAACATTTTACATTTACAATTATTACTTAAAGGTAATTATATCACCATTAAATAAATTGCTGTAAATTAATTATATAAAATTTATTTTACTAATAAAATTTAGCAAAATTTTCCTAATTTAAATTTCCATCATGTTAATACTATAAAAGTCTCCAAAGATCGTGAATTTATTAGAAAAATTTACAATGGTGACCATGTTTATATAGCGTATGAATTTGCAACCAATGTTATTATTAAATTACATCCAACGTTATCACTGCACAAATCACGTGACAACACGGGATTATCACTGAGTCAACCAATGGTTAATAAAAAGCTCGACCAACGTTTTACATATTTATTTAATCTTAAGTATTAATTATTCAATAAATTAAATATTTATATATTTCAAATCATTAATTAAAACTACATATTTTTAGGCTAACCACGATGTTTGAAACTGGTCAATTGGCAGTCCGTGAACTAAGTAGTGATAAATTAATACGTGATCATTTTAATGACGATGATCAGGATAGTTCTGATAATGATTTATTTGCTCCCATACTACTCGTTGATATAAAATTATTTTTCTATTGGTTAATGTATGGCTTATTAATAACTATATTAGTATTAATGTTTGAATTAATATATAAGGGTAATTGTGAAATATAAATTTAATTATTATTTAAAACCTTTTTAACATGACTTTGTTAAAATAAATTTGAATTACTTGAATTGTAAAAATAAACTTAGAAATCACAAACTACTAAACAAGACAAATTCTTGAAATTTATTAAAGTTATTTTTATAAAAAATTCATAAAATAACAGCATCCTGTATTAATGTTTTAACATTTATATATTATAAATATTGATTAATTTTAACTTTAATATTTAACAAGGACTGCATAGGATAATTAACAAGTTTTAATAACATTTGTCAACACTGGACATTAACTTATCTATATATTATAGCAACCATTTTGCAATTGTTCTAGAAATTAATTTAATTTATAATAATAAACTAACACATGTTTATAGTTTACACAATAATTTATTGTCAATTTGTATTAATTAAATTTAAATTTAACATGTTACATTTCAACAATTAACATCAAACCACTGTTTGCTATAACTATTTCGCAGCCAATCGTTATACTTATCTAGACATTCAGTGTCTGAATCAATACTATTATAGGGGTTTTGCTTAATAAACGGCTCATACAGACCAGAACTCAAATATCGCAGACCATTGCCCTTCAGATTCAGCTCAACCGGTCTATTAATGCCATTAAACACATCCCTAAGCAGGTTATCGTTACTTATATGGTTATGACTAACATCAAGGTATAATAGTTTATCTGTAGGCTCTAGCGCCACATCAAACGCGTGCTTATCGAGTTTGTAGCTATAAATGGCGCATGCGCTCAGCGTTATTCTGGCAAGTTGAGTTATGTTTGCGAACGCGTAGGGGGCGACGTTGTCAATTTGGCAATCTGTATATTTACTGGTAGGCTCGGGGTCGACAATTTCTATCACGGTCAGTGTCGGGTGATCTCGGAAGGCGCCCTTGGTTAAACTGATTGCGTGCTGCGGCGCTATGGCTACCCTGGATAGCCCGGTGGCGCCCCTAACGGCTGCGAAAAGGTTGGCCCTCTGAACGACATCGTTGTTAAAGTGGCCGCTGATGTAGAGGTCGCTGACCGCGTTGCCGGCAAAAGCATCCGGGTGAATTGTTTTGAGCTTGTCCGAGCCTCTGAGTTCGATCTTGGTGAATTGGATATCGCTGAACGCCCTTGCTGGTATTTCTGTCAGCTCCGGGTAGGAGATGGTTATGGATGCAAATGATTTGGACCCGTTGTAGTGTTGGCTCAGGTGTTGAAAGTATTGGCCCAAATTGAACGGCTCGGGGCCGTCGCACACCACGTATCGGCCGAATGATTGATTGTGGTCAAAACACCGACATGGGTTTAGCAGCTCAGTCGGTGGGCACTTTTGGTTGGCTGCTATTGCAGAGTTGATTAACCATGTTGTACATAAATAAGTGATAATTTTATACATTTTACCATGTACAACTTTTCTATTCTAATTTTTGTTGAACTATAACTTGTTATTAATATTATTTCTATTGTGAAAAACAATTAATTATAAAATGTTTAGAAAAAGATCTGGTTTAAATAGATGTTTTTACTATGTTAAAAAATAACTTTTATAGATTAATTTTTATGGGAAATCTGTGCATGTTTCAACAATATGACTGATTTAATAATCTTTGTACAAACCCGGATTATTAGATAAAACAAGATTTAGATATAAAATTATTGTTAATAATATAATAGCATATGGAAAACTCCAGGGTCGTTATTTCTTACTTGTAAGGCAATAATTAAAATTACTGTTTAAGATTTATTTGTCAAGTAATCAATATTGTGTAAAATATTTAACATATAAATAAATATACAATTTCAAATATTAATCTTATAAAGGTAACTATTAATTTAACTAATTAATTTTATTTAATTCAACTATTTAACTTTTTTTATTAATCAAAGCACAAATGAATAATCAAACAATATAATCAATATATTTGATTTTAGTTCTAAGAATTTTGTCCAAGTTGGTTTAATTGATAACGACTACATAATCCCTGTATTACGACATTGAGATAAATAGCATGTTAACAATAATTATTATGTTTGGCACAGGTGTTTCATTTAAGTTTTATACATGTATGCAATCAATAGTACAGTAGTTATATATAAAAACTATAAAACCCCCACAATTAATTTTTAAAATTATTATTATTAAATTATTCTGTATAGATATATACTTGAATATATAGTGAATATATAGAATTGAATAAAAAAAAACTTACCTCCAGTTATGTACAAATCACGTAAGCATTATTAAAAATTATACAGTAATATATAACTTTATAATTATAATAAATATATTTCAATACAATTTTGCTAAAATACACTAAATTATATTTTAATTTATCTAGATTATATAGTATTATTCGTATCGGTGTTTGCTACAATTCAACTTAATGCCAATGCTAGAGATGGGGGAAAGTGTCCCGACATAAAAGTGGCCCCGATTCAAAAGCCATGCTACTACGAGCAATTTTATATGGGTTACTACGAGTGCGGTATCTCATGCTCGGGCGACAAGAACTTCAATTTTGCGGACATTTTCGGTCCACTAAACGAAACACTCGCCGAAAATGAGAAAAATTTCTACTATTTCTCGCTAAACAACACCGCTATAGAGGAACTGCCGGCCGAAGCGTTCGGTGGCATACAGTTTGACCGCATATGGCTTACGGGCGCCACTGGTCTCAAACGAGTGCATCGGAGGGCGTTTGACGGCACTGACGTCAACTGGCTATCCATTGATGGCTCGCCGGTCAGCCAACACGTGACGGACGATGGTTATGGCGATGAATATGACCTGTTTGGGGCCATTCGCACAATTTCAGGGCTATATAGCGTTGAGTTAACCCATACGGCGATTACGTCGGTGCCGGCACTTTGCCTGTTAGGCCTGCGCAGCCTCGGGTACGTCAATATGACGGGCAATGCACTCGAGACCATAGAGTCGGATGCTTTTGCCGATTTGCCCGAAATATACAGTATTTATATTATCGGCGGTCGAGTGGGACGAGTGGCCGACCGGGCGTTCGCCGTATCGGCCCAACAGTCGACCAAAAAGTTTACGTTAGAGTTGGCCAGCGATTCGCTAACAGACGAGTCGTTCGCGGAAAAGGCTTTCGACGGCACGAACAGACCCACAGCGTTGTCGCTAATGGGGAACCCTTTGCGAC